AGTGAGTTAGAGGGCTGTTTCTGTGTCCCAACCCGCCTTTTCACTCTCAAATCCTAAGAGTGTTCGCACTTCCATGTCTGGGATCCATATGAAACGATGGCACAGAGGCATATGTGTGAATTTATCCACAATTTTCAAGGAGAAATCCACTTCACAGGAAGTCAGCAGGTGCACGCATAAAATAGCTAGCATATGCCATCCGTGAGAGAGACCAAAAGACGAGGAATTGGTTTAAGACCGATCTGAAACACTCTCGCTCTCTGATGAATTACTAAAAGACATGCTGACCATTGAAATCTGTACACAGAGATTCTAATGCTTCCTGAATCAGCGAAAAAACACTATTTATGCATAACTGCCCTTATTGTGAGGTTTAGCTTCTTAGCTTTGGTTTGGTTGAGTCTTCCATGCACTTAGACCATGATAAAAGTCTTCAAAATAACAGCAGAAACACAACTACAAGATAAAACGGACTTGTTATACAATCTTCGGAAATTCATCTTTAAGTGGAAACTGATCCAAAACCTAGTTAGCCACCTTGTCTACATAGACATCATCCGAATAGAACCTCATAAGGGACTTATTCTGAATGCTACACGGGCAGCAACTTCACATGCTAGCATGTTATTAAGCACTGCTGTTAGCATGTTGCTAAGCTAATGATGCCATACTATCCACCTTATTCCTCAACGCAGAAGTAAGCCTATGGGTGATACTTCTGGTTAATTAGCCGCTTTACGGAAATAATGAGAAGAATAACAACGTGCAGTAAACGGTAAAACTGTTTGCACTACAAACCAGTGTGTTCATAATCAAGATAATACATAAAATAAAAGAGTAAGACAAAATCCAGCAGCAAAATGAGCTGTTTTGTTCAGCTAAAAAAAAGCTGGATGCGGATGACACCGGAAGCCAGTCCCATAAAAATTACAAACGGCCATGCCCGCTCTTACGGGAAAAATAAGGTGGATAACAAACATAGAACACACAAAAATAGTGTAAAACAGCCAATTTTAGCTATTTCTTTGGTATCTCTTTACTGATCGACCATCTTTGGAGTTTTTCACAGAGTTTCTTGCAGTGCATTCTGGGATTTCCTTATCTGTCAATGATACATATAGAATATAGCTAAAATGCATCTAAGAAAGATTTTTAATAATTCATAAAAGTTTTTGCATAGATAGCACATATAAATTGCCTTAAAATGCTGTCTAGGTAGGCAGCTCACTTGGGTTTTGGAACAGAGCTTGCATATCTCAGGTTTTTTTATTTTTTATTTTTTATTTGCTGTCACACTATTCTCTTCCAACCTGTCGTGTCTCTGATTATGGTTTCATAACCACCTACACAGCACTGGAATACTTCTATTGAGAATGTTCATTTCCTGTTCGTGTAACACAACATCACTGTCAAATGATCATAAAAAAGATGTACAACTTGCATTAGGAAGCCTGACGCCATTGATGATTGCTTCTGCCCTGAAAGACTGGTAAATATTATGCATTGTGATGCTGATATCAGAGACCCCCCACAAGCAAAGGATTTTATAGTTCGAAGAACTTGTAGAGCTTTTGAGAGCCTTAAAATGGTTCTTTTGGGAATCGCAAATCTTGAAACACAATGACCATTAAATAGAGTCATTGGTATGCAGAAGAACTCGACCCACCCACACAAACACAAAATACATTACATATATCTCTAAGATGAGCCTGTTACAAGAAGCTAAAAACAGAAAACATCTTTTTAGCAAATTCCCAGTGCAAATTAAAAGTAAAATATTCTCTGATTAATTGGCATATATGCAATCTACTCTATTTCACAAAATAATTCACAACTATGTGAATAAATATTTATATGGATAAGGAACTTACAGTATGTGGAACTTACAAATGTGTGCATAAATATCTGCATACATTCCGGTAGTCAACAAGCCTATTTCCAGTTCTAAAGGAATATGTATAGGAAGTGATTCACAAACATTTCAGGAGAGGCCAATTTGGATTTTTGTTTGTAATTTGTTGATTTGTAATGAATAAACTGCAGTGATCTAACTGTGAGCCCCAGTTGTTCATCAGGATCAATAATGAAGCCACTGAAGGGTTGAGTTTGGCTGGAAGCATTCAGCATGTGGCCCAGAGGCCCAGGTAGTCAACAAGCCTATTTCCAGTTCTAAAGGAATATGTATAGGAAGTGATTCACAAACATTTCAGGAGAGGCCAATTTTGATTTTTGTTTGTAATTTGTTGATTTGTAATGAATAAACTGCAGTGATCCCTAGTTGTTCATCAGGATCAATAATGAAGCCACTGAAGGGTTGAGTTTGGCTGGAAGCATTCAGCATGTGGCCCAGAGGCCCTGTGTTAAACTGTTAGCACTGTTGAGGGGAGGCTGGGTTCTGTTCAAAGCAAATTAAGCAGCCTACAGTGTGTGCTACCAAAACCTGAGAACATATGTAAATGCTCTTCATATGAATCTGACATGAAAGAACTATCACTGCTGTCTGGTCATCAGGAAAAATAAACACGCACACACACACACCGTGAACACACACGCAGCCAATGCTGCGGCGCCCGGGGAGCAGTTGGGGGTTCGGTGCCTTGCTCAAGGGTCTCACCCAGTCGTGGTAGTGAGGGTGGAGAGAGAGCTGGATATTCACTCCCCCCACCTACAATCCCTGCCAGACCTGAGACTCGAACCCGCGACCTTCGGGTTACAAGTCCGACTCTCTAGTGAGTTCCTAATGAACATGACAAAGTTGCATCTTGTCTATTCTGACGTGATCGATCGTATTTCCATCTGTTGCATCATTTACTATCATATATATATGATGCATCTGAAACTATCACAGTAAGACTGAATTACTGCAGTCTGGAGCAGGACGTTGTTTCCCAGCGGCAACAATCCCACTAAAAGATGGCAGCTAAATACCTGAGCAGCAGAATCCTCCTCATATCTGTCACTGCTAAAGGAACAGCACGCTAAGAGTCTAATCTAGTTCAGAATCAGCCTGTTCGCTAATCCTGTATACACACACACGCGCAAGGCGCACTAACACACATACAGGCGGACTTAGTTCACCTCAGCTTCATGTAGGTCAGTTCGGCACACAGACACCAGGACAAACAAAGTTAAACACACACTTGGACAAGAATAACACAACTCCGGCTCATCTGTAAATCAATCTGATTAATTGGCTTAACGAAGCTCTGCTGCTACTATGTAGAAGACTTTGAGTCTTCCAAGTGACTTAAATCTCCTGAATCCGTTCACCAAAACATCAAGTACAGATTGTTTGCCAATTCATTAAATGAAAATTGCTTACAATTATGCATTAATTAGTATTTCTGCATTTTTTAATGAGTAAAAAAATTATCCCTCAAGGTACAAAAATCAGATGAGAGCTCATTAATATCGCAATTGAAAGTATAAATAAATGGAGAAACAAACTGCTAAGTAATATCACACATTTCTCCTCAAGAAATTCTGAAAATATCAATAATGTCTCAAAATGTGCTCAGATTTGACAAGATACCAAGCCTGCATTAAAAAATCAGAGATCTGAAAATGAACTCAAATGTTTCTCATTAATTTCCAAATTCTAGAAATGAATATCAATAATGTCTCAAAATGTGCTCAGATTTGACAAGATACCAAGCCTGCATTAAAAAAATCAGAGATCTGAAAATGAACTCAAATGTTTCTCATTAATTTCCAAATTCTAGAAATGATCTGAGTCGCCATCCATTAATTTTAAAGCATTGCACTTCTAATATATATGAATAATTATCTCATTAGAGTGGATTTTAATTTCTCTTTATGATTTTTAAAGGTGGGGTAGGTGATTTCAGAGAGGCTAGCAATAGCAAGCTACCTTTCAAATCATAAGATCCCACACTCCCTGCAAATCACTCTCCAAAGCCGCTGCCTCCTCCAAAACACATGATCGCGCACAGGCAGACCGGAGGATAACCAGTGGCACGATGAGAGTCGGTGCTGGTGGAGGATTGAATGCAATGCTGTCAGATTATCTCATGTCTCATTCACCAGTGAGAAAACATTACAGTAAAAAACGCTAAATATTACAATAATGCCTTTTATTCTAGCGTAATGGAACGCGCTGATTACTTGGCATGTCTGCATGAACAGGGTGCACAGAGGTATGCAAATACATACGTTGACAGGCAGGTAGGACAGCCTATCATAGCCCTTGAACCGAGGGATATGATTACACAAGCATTTTATGGTCCTACGCCTTCCACAGACGATATAAAGACATATAAATACATTTAGACCACAGTGATTGCTATCGGGATGTGAAGAGTAAGGTTGCAAAGAAGTGGAAATTTCTGGTAAATTTTGGAAACATTCCAGTTTTTTTTTTGAAAAATTTCAGAAATTTTTGGAAAGTTTCTGGACCAGCCAACTTACGAGGCTCCATTTCTGTTAGGTTGCTGCCCCAGAAACTAGCTTCCTTCGTATACGATAGACAGTGAGGCTAGGGTTTGCAGTTTACATCGAGGCGATAAAGGTATTGTTTTCAAAAACTTGAAATTTGAAACCCGTTGGTGGCATTGTTGTGTAAAATAACAGCCAAAACACACGAATGGAGTTCTGTTTTTATTTGAAAATGGTGTAAACGCCCCTTAAGTCTCCTGAGGAGTAAAAGAGCAACATCTGTGCAACAAAATGTTCCTCTGGGTTCCACTTTAAAGTCAGCCTTTGAAGGTAAAAACAACCAACAAACCAGTCACAACACTCTGCTGCAACAGAACGCCTTCATTACAATGCAAAGCAAGTGTCAGGAATGAGATCGTATCGTTCATTTAAAA